GAAACAGAAAGTACGCAGATTATGGATACACTTCAGGAATATATATTTAGCACTTTAACTTTCGAGTATGTAGCTCCATACCCGAAGATATCAAATGTTTGTGTATAGATTATGTAAGTTATTATACATTATAATATATATAATTATGAGCCATATATGTATACGTTATATGTTGTTTTTAATATTGTCTCGCTTTGATTAATTTATTCTGTATTATACCTGCCACAGGTTTTACAAAGTAAAGTTGGTTCAGATATCATTTATATACAATACTTCATAGCGTGGCTAGAAGACTAGGTCTACGTTGCGATGCAGTGATACTTAAATTTCAACGCTGTATATTATGGAAACCAAAGTTGTAAGTATAGATATATTAGATTCGACATTATCATCATTTCTCGATAATCTTTTTTTTTATTATACGCATATGGTACATATATAATTTTTTATTATAAAAATTTTCATATGATTAAGGTAATATTTTATTTGTTTACAGCGTCACGAATAATTTAGAAAATGCAAGATGTTTTTACATAAAACACGGATATTTCCCGAATTGTCTTCATGATTTTCTACCACTTACAAGTGTTATAAAACAGATCGCGTCACCGCAATAAAAACTGCACAGGTTGAAACTTATTTATTACATCTATTAATTTTAAGTTATTAATATGCTTGTAAATTGAAAAGCAATTAATAAATTACATTATATGTGTATAGAAAGAAAAGAAATGTACATCTTTCATTTTTTAATTTATAATTAAATCCATGTTTACATTTAATCTTTATTCATGTTTAATTAACTTTTTAGATGAAGCACATAATAGAAATTTTAGTTAGAAAGTTTATAATAGAACATAAAATAAACAATTTGGACTTAGTCGAAGTGAATTGTATAATGTAAAAACATACGCGCACTAACATAATCACATATTAGTATATAACATGCACCATTGTAAAATAAAGAGCTTTGTGAGATATTTTCAGATAACAATTATATATAATTTACAATTTTCTATAATTTTACGTGTTTTAGGTGTTTATTGAGGCATTTATTCACAAAAATCAATCAAAGTAAAAATTTTACAGTTTCTGTCTTATTTTAATTAGTAGAACATATAAATGAAAACGTGAAATATGCTGTAGAAATTATCATAATATATAATCCTACAGATCAATCTACAGATTCGGACCAACATAATAATTTAAATTAATAATAGAATGTTATTGACATATACATATATACATACATGTTCGACAATTGAGAATCAACGATGAATAAAATATAGCTATTATCTTTCTGCGATATTTATTGTATTAATAATATAAATAATAAAGTAAGAAAATTTTGTGACAGCAACAATTTGAATTGGTACAGAAAAATTAATAAATAAATAAAAATAAAAAATTAACTAATTTGATAACTTTTTTTAACACTTTCAATATATGCGAAATATGACGTAATAAATTTGCCATCTAATAATATCTATTATTTTGAAACTTATATAATCGATAGTGTGTTGCATTTGTATAAGTATAAATAGGTATGTTAATAAAAGACAATGATTTTTATATTTTCAAATATACACAATTCTTTTGTATTGAAGAAGACGATAAAAACTTATAATTGATATTAGATTTTGTATGATATTAGCATAATTTCAGATGTTGCTAATTCATCTCAATTTTATAATCTCAATTTTAATTCCTCAGTTTCCGATTCAGCGACTTTTGGACCGATATATTTTGCTTTTCTACATCTTTGTAGGGAAATCAAAAGAAAACATAGGAATTAAAATCTCGAATTGAGATTTATTCACAAACATCTGCGTTGAGTTCGCATAGTCTGTTCATTTTGAGTTTGTATTTAATCCATGAAGTTTTATATTCTTATAAAGTTTAAATTATTAAAATATATACACCCTATATATACGCGCCAATAAAACTAAATAAAATTGTAGAATATTCTTATATAAACTATGTGCATACATCAATTATTAAATATTTGTACTGTAAGTCGAGAATTTTATTTTAGCTGAGAATTTTATATGTAAAGATTTAAAAATGAAAAATGTAAATCTCTCTCTTACCCCTTCTCTCTTATCGAGATAATTTGACATAATGCACAGCACTGGAGTTTATAATTGTAAAATATAAATACATAAATATTATTGGTAGAATTTAATAAAATTCATGATAATTTGAAATAATATTATTTTAATTAAGCTTAAATAATACATAATATAAATACATGAAGATTAATAAAATTTAATATAACTAATAAATTTGTAAAAATATATTATTTAAATTAATCTTAAATAGAGAACAATAAATAAATAAATAATAATAATAAAAATAAATAATAAATGAATTATTTACCACGTTTTATCTTTCAAGCGCATAAGAAAAAATGGTAAATTTGCTAGTTCTAAATTACATTTTCTGCGCATGCTGTGGCAAGTTCTTATACCTATATCTTAGTGAAAACAAGCAAAAAGGCTTTAAAATTTGGGGTCACATTTCATAATAAAGAACAGACCGTCTGTAGTGTGGAAACGTCTCTCGTATACATCAAACACACATCTGTGCTCTTTGTAATCGGCAAACTCATTTCGTGTACTGCGAAAAGCAAGGAATTAATTACGCGAATAGTTTATTGCAATCACTTTAATTTACATTCCTTTTTTGTGTTTTGTTTCTCATAATGTCTGATTGTAAGATAACGTGCTTACCAGAGGAGATCATAGACATCATTCTCGGCTATAATGTTATCACTATTGAGGATATCATCAACTTTCGATGCGTGTGCCAGCAATTTCGTTATGCAGCAACCACATATAACAAGTTCTTGGAAAAAAAGTTATTTCAGAGGTAATTCTTGTGATTTGTAAATCTTTTTGTTATTTTGTCTCATTAACGCCTGTCGCACAATGATATCACTTCTGCGAAGAACGTATATTATAAATATATAATAAATACAAAATATTAGAAAAATTAGGTATGTTGCATATTAAATTATTCGCTTTCATTTTTTCTATTGCTCAATAATTTTAACATACTCTACCGTTATATATATATACATATATAATATACATATACATATATATATATATGGAATATAAACGTTAAATATAATATACTGATAAAAAGGATTCTTAATTTTCGGCTGTCACAAATTAAAAGACCAAATATTTTTCGACCGACATTTTTCAATTGATGTTTATTTAATTAATCACACAACGTTTCGACCACGGTGTTTCGACCATAACTTTGGTCCTTCGCACACTTAACAGTAACACTTGAGAAAGCCATAAATTATATGAAACGTTGTGTAATTAATTAAATAAATATTAATTAGCCTACATGTATATCGGTCGAAATATATTCAGTTATTAAATAATTTTTTTTTAGATTTAATTATCAAAAATACAACATAAAAGTAACTTTGTTTATTTATTATAATGTGTATTCTTCAATATATTTAATTGCATTTTTAAATATAAAAATTATATATATATATGATATATATTCGTGATAGAAACAAACAGATTTGATATTTTTCTATCGGTTCTTTTTATAAATAACATTGAAATCACAATAAAATCTTTATAAAACTAAAAAACATGCCAAGTGATATATATAAGCACAGTCGACATTGTTTGTAAATATGCTTTCGAAAAAATTGTTCTACAAAATATTAAAAAAAAACTTAATCTATACATACATACACATAAGCACATTAATGTTTATTAATTGCATATAGAATACACTTATAGAATTATGCAATATACATATTGGAATCAAAATTTGAAAAGTATAAATTAAATTACAAATTAAAATTGACTATTATATATTTTCTTTTTCTAATTAAAATATAAAAAAAGTGTCATATATATACTCATGCTTTGAATTGTACACTTTAAAAATTTATTAATTTGAAAAATGACTTGTGCAATCACATTTTTTACTATCATCAAAGTTTGCTGTGTGTTATCTAAATAAAATTAAATGGAAGAACTGTGGCGTCATCTTATCTGCATATAGATAATAAAAATATGTATTATCTTTATATCTGCATCTTACAAATAAATAAAAAAAAATACTACCTTTACTATATTATTTATCTAAAATAATATTCAGATAATTTTGGTTTAGAATCATAGCACATAAAAATACTTAAAGCAGACAGTAAAGCGATAAAAATTTATAAATAAAAATATGTATACATATATTGTTGTATCTTTTTCTTAATTTATATTCCTTGTATAACTGTGTTTACATAAATAGTTTTAAATATTATTATCTAAACAATTATCTAAATAAATCGTCATAATTATATCTTTTATCTAGATATACTTAAAGCAAAATCATCTTTATTTTATCTAATATGAATTTACATACTTTTATCTCATCTTTATCCAGCTAATTTTAAATTAATCTTGACACAACACTAAGTATCATTATCAAAAATTTATTACAATATTTTATGGTCGTATTTTAGATGGCCCTATGCGAAGAAAAGATATGAAAGACTTACGGAGAAAGAAAAGAAAGAAAACCTAAACTTTGTTACAATAGGCATAAATTCTGCGACACAATTGCGAAATTATTTGTCTCAAATTCTTTTTATGATTATTATTACAATAAGGGATCAAATCAGAATAACTTCGACAACTCATTTGCTAATGTATTGGAATTAAAAATAATGTAAAAAAATTCAGTGGTAATATCGATAAATATGTAAATCGAATTGTCTTTACATGTACACATGAGCCTATAGATGCGCTGAAATATATGTTTTATATTGAAGAGATTAAATGCTTGTTAACACAATTTCCACAGTAGGACTTTCATATATATTATAATGCAACTATTATTACAATTTAATGTATTTAATCATTAGTTAATGCTTCAATATACATTTTTTAGGGATCGCAAATCAATCGAAAGTTTTTGCAATATAGAAATGTCTCACTATGCGAAGCTATCCTCGATAGGAAATGAGTTGGACAGATATAGAAAGAAACCTGAAGGAGAACAGCTTTTGGAAGAAACATGTACTTTTGCGGCAAAATATATTCAAGTTCGAGAAGATGTATGTTACACGAATGTAAGTGCATCATTGGATACAATCGCACAAGAGGTACGGAATCGTCTCAGAGAGAAGCATCCGAACCATTCGATATTCTCCACGTCTGATAAAACTTTTTCCTTTTGGAAAACCAACAATATCGAAGATAATCGATGGAATGACACAGAAAGTACGCATATTATGGATACACTCCAAGAATATATATTTCGCACCTTCTACATTCGAGCACGTATCCCCCATTTTCACCCGAAGATATCAAATATTTGTGTATAGATTATGTAAGTTATTATTGATTATAATACATGTAATTATGGGCCATATATGTATACGTTATATGTTGTTTTTAATATTCTCTCGCTTTGATTAATTTGTCGTGTATTATACCTGGCACAGGTTTTACAAAGTAAAGTTGGTGAAGATATCATTGTAAATACAATATTTCATAGCGTGGCTAGAAGACTTGGTCTACGTTGCGATGTACTATATATTGAAGATGGATTCTGTATATTTTGGAAATCAAAATTGTAAGTACAGATATATATTAGATTCGACATTATCATTATTTCTCGATAATCTTTCTTTTTTTATTATACGCTTCCAATATAATTTTTTATTATATAAATTTTTATAATGATTAAAGTAATAATTTAATTGTTTACAGAGTCACGAATAATTTTGAAAATGCAGGATGTTTTTACACACAAAAGTATTTCCCCGGGTATCGTGTTATTGATAATCTATCAGAATACATGTCTGTAAGACCATTCGCAATAACAATTACAAAGGTTAAAAATTACTTATTTATTACTTCTAATAATTTTAAGTTATTAATATATTTCTAAATTTACAAAGAATCAATATATTACACTAAATATGTATAGGAAGAAGAGAAATGTGCAATCTCTCATTTTTTAATTTATAATTAGATTTTTGTTTACATGTCGTCTTTATATTCATGTTTAATTAATTTTTTCAGATGTTGGAGTCCATAACACATATCGTTAGACAATTTATAATGCGACATATAATAAATGCTTTGCAATTAATCGAAGTTAAATGCATTATCCAAAAACCTTCGATATGATTAAAATGTATTGCAATCATATTATGATGATAGGTATTATGAGTGCAAGTTATATACATATAATGCAAAATGTGAGTAATTATATTAATTTAAGCATATTCATGTATACTCATAATGACATTTTTTGCAAACAGTTTCAAGATATCATAATATGTCTGTGTTTTGAGTAGCATATGAGCCTGCATCTGTGTCTATTTTTGTCATCATGTTTTAAAAAATATGAGTACAATATGAGTAAAGTACATACGCGCACTAACAATCGCATATTAGTATATAATATATACAATTGTAAACATATTGAACACTGTGAGATTTTTTTAGATAACAATTCTTTTAGATAACAATATGTATAATCTACAATTTTTTATAATTTAACGTGGTTAAGTGTTTATTGAGACATTTATTCACAAAAAAATCTATTAAAGTACAAATTTTACAGTTTGTGTCTTAGATTTCGTTTTAAATAGTAAAACAAATAAATAAAAACGTAAAATATGCCATAGTTGCATGGACCAACATAACAGACAGATGTTATATTGACACATACATGTATATACACGTATATGTTCGACTTTTGTTGATAAATACCATGCCCTATTTTTGTATGCAATGTCAATTGAATATCAACGACGAATAAAATGTATTTATCGTTCTCTGCTATATTTATTGTATTTATTAATATAAACAATTAAATAAGAAAAATTGTGATTGCAAGAATTTGAATTAGTGCAGTAAAATTTATATATTTAAAAATTTATAAAAATTAATTAATTTATGAACTTCTTTTTATTACTTTAAGTATATGAAAAATATGACATAATTAAAATTTACCATCTATTAATATCTAATATTTTGAAACTTTTATAAACGATAGTGCATTTGTATAAGTAAAAACAGGTATATTAATAAAAGACAATGATTATTATATTTTGAAATATATATAATACTTTTGTGTTGAAGGAGACAATAAAAACGTATTAATGATATTAGATTTTGTATGACATATTGTATGATAATTGCAGATTTTAAAAATTCGTGCAAGATTCAAGCAAGACTATAAAATTTGACTAATTCCAAAAAGTTATATCTTCCTTTATGTAGAAAATTTCTTCAATGGATGAGGCATTATTTTAAGAAATATAACGAACAACGTTAACTATATATTAAAATATATTTAAATGTGGTAATTGTACAAAGACTTATACCAAAATTTTTTATATTATCTGAAAAAATAAAAATACATAATTGAGAAACACATGCTTTGTAATGAGACAGCAAATGTACTCCGCATTTGGGCACAGAACACATTTAATGTCATTAAAATGTAACACTTTAATTTCCGTTTCTTTGAAACTTCTGTTAGGACACTCATCTTGTATTTTATTTTTCAAAAATAAATTTATTAATTTTACAAATATGTTTCTTCAGTGATCGAGCGATTTAAACAATATACAATCCTCTACATCACATTATATAATAGTTTACACCCCGTATATACGCGCGAGTAAACTACATAAAATTGTTGAAATTCTTAAAATTTACACATTATTTATTAAAAAGAATGAAAAATAAACAGAAAGGAAGAGGGGAAGAAAGATTGAAATATATTTCATAGTATAAATAATGTCGTAACAATACTAATAATTCGTACAAAGATTCGTATTTATAAATTGGATTAAGTTTAAATAAATTTAATTAAATTGAAATTAAAAATCTGAACATTCATTTAAATGTCTGTGCTGTATTTTTAAATTTATAAATTCATTCTTTGATTTTATTATGTGGCGCATTTATCATGATGTGAAATATTTTAACTAATTTCGTTCGACAATCGTCGACAATCTAAGGAAGAACATAAATTTAATGAAATAAAAATTATAACAAAGTTTAACATAACTATTAACGAAGAATGTTTTCATCGTATCATTTATGCAGAGGATCTCTTCGATGGATGTGGCATTATTTTAGAAGGTATAACAAACAATGTGGAGCATGCGATATCTGTGATAAAAATTTCATCCTATTATCTATAGATACATCTGTGATATATCATATAAAAATAAAGCATAAAGAAATTTATACATAATGTTTCAAGTGTGGGGCCTTTTTATTCTATATCAGAAAATATATTAAAATCAGGTAATTGTACAAAGACTTACACTAAAATATTTTATGTATCTGAAAATATAAAAAAACATAATTGAAACACACATACTTAGAACAGCAAATATACTCCACACTTGGATATAAAACACATTTAAGGTCATTCTGAAACGCAAGATTTGCGACAAATTTAATAAGATAAATAATTCTTTTAAATTAATGATATTTATTTCAACTTCATAATATCTCTGCATATCTCCAAATGCTACCAAAGGAGTAAGTGAAAAACCGATAAATATAAATATTACTATTTAGTTTTTCTTTAGTGATTAATATAAACTTTTGAAAAATAAATGAACAAATATACTTAATGAATAAGAAAGTTAGTCTCGTAATAAACAAGGAATGCGAGCCGAACGCGAAGGTTTGTGTTTTAGATAATAAAAATTAATTTTTCTCCTATGTCTTATAATTGTGCACAAGGCACGAAATTTGTTTAACATAGTGCTAACAATAATATTATTTAAAATAAATATCAACTTGGTTCTCAATTTTAGAATATCTATTTTAACTCCTAAGTTTCCGATTCTGCAACTTCTAGACCGATATATTTTGCTTTTTCTACATCTTTTAGGGAGATCAGAGAAAAACATAAGAACTAAAATCTCGAATTGAGATTTATTCACAAACATCCGCGTTGAGTTCGCATAGTCTGTTCATTTTGAATTTGCATTTAATCTATGGAGTTTTTAAATTGTTATAGTTTAAATTTCTAGAATATAAACACCCGTATATACGCGCGAATAAAACTAAATAAAATTGTAGAATATTCTTATATAAACTATGTGCATACATCAATTATTAAATATTTGTACTGTAAGTCGAGATATTTATATGTAAAGATTTAAAAAATGAAAAATGTAAATCTCTCTCTTACCCCTTCTCTCTTATCGAGATAATTTGACAATGCACAGCACTGGAGTTTATAATTGTAGAATATAAATACATAAATATTATTGGTAGAATTTAATAAAATTCATGATAATTTGAAATAATATTATTTTAATTATTGTAAGCTTAAATAATACATAATATAAATACATGAAAATTAATAAAATTTAATATAACTAATAAATTTGTAAAAATATATTATTTAAATTAATCTTAAATAAAGAACAATAAATAAATAATAATAATAAAAAAAATAATAAATGAATTATTTACCACGTTTTATCTTTCAAGCGCATAAGAAAAATGGTAAATTTGCTAGTTCTAAATTACATTTTCTGCGCATGCTGTGGCAAGTTCTTATACCTATATCTTAGTGAAAACAAGCAAAAAGGCTTTAAAATTTGGGGTCACATTTCATAATAAAGAACAGACCGTCTGTATCGTGGAAAACGTCTCTCGTATACATCAAACACACATCTGTGCTCTTTGTAATCGGAAAACTCATTTCGTGTACTGCGAAAAGCAAGGAATTAATTACGCGAATAGTTTATTGCAATCACTTTAATTTACATTCCTTTTTTGTGTTTTGTTTCTCATAATGTCTGATTATAAGATAACGTGCTTACCAGAGGAGATAATAACCATCATTCTCGGCTGTAATGTTATCACTATGGAGGATATCATCAACTTTCGATGCGTGTGCCAGCAATTTCGTTATGCAGCAACCACATATAACAAGTTCTTGGAAAAAAAGTTATCTCAAAGGTAATTCTTGGTTTGTAAATCTTTTTGTTATTTTGTCTCATTAACGCCTGTCGCATAATGATTATGACTTCTGCGAAGAACGTATATTATAAATATATAATAAATACAAAATATTAGAAAAATTAGGTATGTTGCATTTATGTTGCATATTAAATTATTCGCTTTCATTTTTCTATTGCTCAATAATTTTAACATACTCTACCGTTATATATATACATATATAATATACATATACATATATATATATATATATATATGGAATATAAACTTTAAATATAATATACTGATAAAAAGGATTCTTAATTTTCGGCTGTCATAAATTAAAAGACCAAATATTTTTCAATTGATGTTTATTTAATTAATCACACAACGTTTCGACCACGGTGTTTGGACGATATAATTTTGGTCTTACGCACACTTAACAGTAACACTTGAGAAAGCCATAAATTATATGAAACGTTGTGTAATTAATTAAATAAATATTAATTAGCCTACATGTATATCGGTCGAAATATATTCAGTCATTAAATAATTTTTTTTAGATTTAATTATTAAAATACAACATAAAAGTAACTTGGTTTATTTATTATAATGTGTATTCTTCAATATATTTAATTGCATTTTTAAATATAAAAATTATATATATGATATATATTCGTGATAGAAACAAACAGATTTGATATTTTTCTATCGGTTCTTTTTCATAAATAGCATTGAAATCACAATAAAATCTTTATAAAATTAAAAACATGCCAAGTGACATATATAAGCACAGTCCACATTGTTTGTAAATATGCTTTCGAAAAAATTGTTTTACAAAATATTAAAAAAAAACTTAATCTATACACAGAACTGTGGCGTCATCTTATCTGCAAATAGATAATAAAAATATGTATTGTCTTTATATCTGCATCTTACAAATAGATAAAAAAAAAGTACTACCTTTACTATATTATTTATTGAAAATAATTTTCAGATATTTTGATTTAAAGTCATAGCACATTGGAATACTTAAAGTAAACAATAAAGCGATAAAATAAGAATATATATATTGTTGTATCTTTTTCATAACTTATATTTCTTGTATAACTGTGTTTACATAACAAGTCTTTAATATTATTATCTAAACAATTATCTAAATAAATCGTCATATAATTGTATCTTTTATCTAGATATACTTGAAACAAAATCATCTTCATTCAATCTAAGATGAATTTACATACTTTATCTCATCTTTATCCAGCTAATTTTAAATTAATCTTGACACAACACTAAGTATCATTATCAAAAATTTATTACAATATTTTATGGTCGTATTTTAGATGGCCCTATGCGAAGAAAAGATATGAAAGTCTTACGAAAAAAGAAAAAGAAGAAAACCTAAACTTTGTTATAATAGGCATAAATTCTGCGATACAATTGCGAAGTTATTTGTCTCAAATTCTCTTTTATGATTATTTTTACAATAATAGATCAAATCGAAATTACTTCGAGACTCAATTCATAATGTATTGAAACTCGAAAATACTGTAAGGGAATTCAGTGGTAATATCGATAAATATGTACATTCTTTGCCTGCATATC